ATGCCCATATCGCGTCTTAAACGCGGTTTTGTACCGATCTTGCGGGCGGATGGAAATCTGATGATAGCCCGATTTGAGGTCCAACTTCGAAAAGTACTTGGCGYCGCCCAACCGCTCAAGCAAATCGTCAATGCGAGGTAGAGGCCCCACGTTCTTGATGGTTTGCGCGTTGAGGCGTCGGTAGTCAATGCAAAGTCAAAGATCCTTGTTCTTCTTCCGAACGAAGAGAACGGGCGCACCGTAAGGTGAACTGCTAGGGCGGATCCATCCCTTGTCAAGTAGATCGTCGAGTTGCGAGCGGAGAATCGTGAGCTCCTCCTTGGACATGCGATAAATGCATCCCTTCGGTGGCACGGCGCCGGCCTCGAGTATGATCTCGTGAGAGATCGGCCGGTCCGGCACTATACCGGAGGGTGTCTCAAAAACATTCGAGAACTCGTCTAACAACTGAGTCACACGGGGGTCGGAAGACACATCCGTGGACGATGAGTCGGTCGTCGGGATGGTTCGAAGAAAAGCGATGCCGATCTCTTCGACATGCTCCGAACGGCATATGTCTCGAAAAGATTTGACACTCACGACTTGGCACCGAATGGAAGAGCGAGGAGGAGGAATAGTACACGGGACACGAATCGTGAGCGTGCGTCGATGGAAATTGACCGTGTGGTCCGCGCTAGAAAGCCAAGGCATCCCCAAAATGACATCGAAGTCGGTGTCCAACACGTCAAAAGTGACGGGTTCACATACGTGCGGTGCAAAGTACACCGGGACAGYCGAGATGTAACGGTCTAAAAGCTGTTTCATCTTACCGTCGGCAAGAGCGACCGTCGTCGGATGTGACTTCCTCCGTACTTGTGCGCCAAGGCCAGCCCGAGTCATGAAGGACTGGCTAATGAAGTTGCGAGTTGCGCCACAATCTAGCAAAGCGTTGCARGCCGCTTGCCCAATCTGAATGGGAACGTAGAGCACCGGTCCGTTGTTTTCTTCGTACCGTTGCGAGACAAACTCGTAGGCCACCTTGGCAACATAGCCAAGCATGTCCCCCACCGCGACTTCGTCTACCGTCGGCGAAGTTGGTGGTGCATGGAAGGAAAGATACTCGTGTAAGAGGGCGCATAGTGCTGCGCTTTGCGGCCCCGGAAGGTTGCCCGTCGTAGGGAGAGGAATCCAAGCGAAGTCCTTGGGCGTGAGCGGGTCCAAGACCTCCTCGTTGAACACGCTTGCCGAATCCCTTGATGAAAACGAAGTGGCGGAAGAACCTTCGGATGGTGAGAACGCCGCAAATGTGTCTAGTCCTTGCGAAGCATCCAGTGAAGGAACGATCTAGGCAGCGAAGTCTTCGAACGAAAGTGGAAGATTCCCGACATCCGCATATGCCCCGGAAGGAAGGGCGTGTGATAAGCTCAAACCCGTACCTCGCGGCTTCCTGTATCCCTGAGGAGAAATCCCTCAGAAGCCCCGAGGCACGAATGCGTACAAACAGGGTTTTTTTTCTTTCTTTTTTTTTTTGTCTTCTTTTTTAAATGACTTTTTCATTTTATTTGGTTAATAACTCCTGCGCGGGTGAATAGCGGTCGCGGTATGAAAACCAAGAAACGAAAGTGTTGGGACTTTTTGAATTTTTGCGCGCGGACGCCCAAACTCTGATTTCTTCGAGCGTCTAGCATCCCCGTTTCTTGCTTTGCATCCCCGCACCATCTTCCTTTCTTGCTGCACGCATTTTTCCCATGCAGGACTTTTCGTCTTCCCCTCCGCCCAGCTCGATCCTTACTCCGCAAAGTGATTGGCCACGTAGTTGGGATGCTCGGATCAACGTGGGGAGCGGTAAACTGCGCACCACTTGAACGGACACCCCAATCGCGCAGGACCATGCCATCCCGCGGGTCGAACCCTCTAACTCCCCACCTCCTTCCTGTCCTGCGCATCTACAACCTGCGCTGCTCGCACCTCGCGCTGACAACCCGCCGCCTCCCGGGCTATAAATTCGGGCAACCCTCTCCTCTCTTCCTCTTTGATCTTGGCTGCAATGCTGCGCGAGCTATGGGGGAAAGTCCGCAGCGCCGAACAGGCTCGACGAGCCCAAGGACGGGCAGAGTGACGACGTGGGGTGGACCCGCGGTAGTCTTGGGGCGACGCAGTCGGAGGGACTGAGCAGTGGTGGGGAGTTGACGCCGGCCGCGACAGGGCCTTGTGGCTATGGTGGTCGGTGGTCTTGGGAGGTTTTGAAGGCTGCGCCTGGGGGCGGCATTTAATTGAAATTTTTGTGTACAAGAAGGACTCACTTTTATCTCCATTGCTGCTTTGTCTATGCATGTCGTGTGTGTGAAGCCCCAAGTCATGGGAGCTGGTTGTGCGCATGAGTGATGTTGAAGGTCTATGGATGATTAAATGTCCTGTCAAGGGTTGTTGACTGTTTGCATGCATGTGTGTATGTACTTGTCGAATGTTTGAAGATCGCTTCGGGTTGGGTCCGACAAAAAAAGGCGTGGATCGGAAAGCTTCTTCCTCTGCTTCGACCTCCCGTCGCTCTAGTCAAGCACAAGGAGGCCGGGGTGAGGAAGAAGTGTCCATAAAAGAGGTCGCAACCCAATTAGTTACGGTAATGGCCCCGCTGACGGAGTTCGTTCAGGGCCTGCAGCGGCAACGCCTAGCCGCCGCACAACGGCAACAAGCGGCTATGGCCGCCGGGGCCCCTATGATAAGAGCGGCCGTGACCGGGGCTGTCCCGCCCCTACACTGTTATAACTGCAATCAGCCAGGTCACCTTGCGAAAGATTGTGTGAAACCTCGAAATCAGGGCGGGCCCGCCGGACCTTCCCAAATCCCGCAGGCTGCTCTAACCGCTGCAGGACAGGGGAGGGTGGCCACGGTGATGGATACCGGGGCAACGGAAATGGTGACCCCTGCGGCCACCGAGATAGGGCCCGATGAATACATGGCTGCGGCGATGTTCGAACCTGGGACCATCGGAGTGATACGTCACGTCCAACGGATTTCCGAGGAAAGCGACCTCGGGCGGACGGGCCGTGGCGACCAGGGTTCAAAGACCTTGCGGCACCTGGTCCTGAATACAAGGATGGCCATATCGACGTATTGGATGCCTTGAAGGCTCTGGATCTTCGGATCCCCGTCCTTATTCCCTATCTGCTAACCATTTTCGAAGCGGCTAACGAAAAGTTGATCGAACGATGCCTCAAAAACAGGCACCGATTCGAGGAAAGTCGAAAGGGCAAAAAGTCGGTCCTACGGGACCTATCCACAAACGAGGAGTCGCAGCCTTCGACCTCAAAGGTGCACGAAGCCGACCGGATAGGAATGATCCAGACCATAGGCTCTGCCTCGGAAAAACCCGAGGTATTCCTCCCAGCCTATCCTATAACCTGGAAAAGCGTTGAGTGTGACTGCAAGGTCTGGGGAAATCCCTCGGCCGCCATCCTAGACTCGAGATCGTCAGCGGTCGCCATTTCTTGGAGATTGACAAAACAGTTGGGAAGGGAAGAACAGGTTCAGCCCCTCCGACCGGATGAACTGTATGTATCCGCTACGGAAGACAATATTCATTGTAAAGGGCGAATAACGAACGTGCCTATACGGGTGGGGCGGGTGCATTGTTTGTGCGACGTAATCGTGCTGGATGTACAAGCGTACGATGTTCTGCTAGGCATTCCGTGGCAGGCGGCGGTCAGAGTGCGAATGCACTTTGACAGCTGTAAGGTGGTGCTCACATCGGCCCACCCCAAACCCCAAACGATACCAATGAGACTGGCGATGCGCATGCGCACCCAGCCGGCGCCTCAACTCACAACGAAAGCCCATCAAACCAACATGATCCGACGCCTGTCACCAGACGAAAATGAACCCTTGACGGGGACTCACGAGACTGATGTACCCGACCGATATCCGATCCGAGTTCAGGATCGGTGGCGCCATTCTTGGCGGCCAGAACCACTAGAAATAGTTCGGAGCGAGTCCAATTGGTCGCACGCGTTCTCTTCCGTGGTGCAGGGGGAACCCCTGCTGAGGGTGCCCCGAATAACTGACCTTTCGGACCCCCCCGAGTCCTTGTATCTCCGAACGGACCCCCTACCTAAAAGATTTACCGAGCTTAGGGGGGCTGTGCGATTTATCTTTTCGACCTCCACGACTCCTACTCACGAATGAAAAAGTCGCAATACTCCTGAAAGAGGGGGTGTCGTTCCAACCCCGAACAAGGGAATATCGGTGGGGACCGAGGGAACTGACGCAGGCCTTTTCGGTAGAACAATCGGCCGAACCCGGACTGGACAGTGACAGTGACATGGAAAGCGAGCCGGTGAGTCCGGCGGACAGTCAACTTATTGTCACTATCCTTTCGGCGAAAATCGACAACTCTTTGTTTGGGGCCTCGCCCGATGCCAGCGCAACGGTCCCCACGGTTACGACGACGGTTTCCCTTCCTGGGGAAACCATAGAAGTTCAGTTACCAGCCCGTGTTCCGGATGAATACAGACGCCTCCTCCTGGCGGTTATACGGGCCTATCCTGAGGCCGTCAGTATTCAGGACCACGACATAGGGCTAATCCCTTTGATACAGCACACGATTGATACCGGGGATCACGCCCCCATACATTGCCGACCGTACCGATATTCCCTTAAAGAAAGACAGTTGGCGTTGGAAAAGGTACGGGAATTCGAGCGGTTGGGGTGGGTCGAACCATCGCTGGGACCGTGGTGTTTTCCCGTGTTCCTCGTGCCAAAACGAAATGGTTCGTTCCGGGTATGTATCAATTACCGGAAATTGAACGCTATCACTACCAAAGATGTGTATCCCTTGCCGCGAATCGACGATTTGTTAGATGCTATCGGGGTCGCGCGAGTCTTTTCCAAGTTCGATATCCGACGTGGTTTTCACCATGTCGCAGTCCGACCGGAGGACCGACCCAAAACCGATTTTGTCCTATTTGAGGGCACGTGGCAATGGGTCCGGTGTCCCATGGGAATTTGTATCGCCCCTGTAACGTTTCAGCGGGCCATGAATATAACCTTCGCTGAGTTCGTTAACAAAACCCGACTAACCCAGCCCCTAATCAATTTCTGCGTGATTGTGTACATGGATGATATTTTGGTTTTTTCAAAAACACACGAGTACCACGTGGAACACATTGAGTGGGTTTTGCATGCACTAAAGGATGCGAGGCTCAAAGTGGCCTTGGAGAAAAGCGAGTTCATCTTGTCGGAGATCTCATTCTTGGGGTACATCGTTACGGTCGATGGACTAAAACCGGATCCGAGGAAGGTGGCAGCAATTCAAGAAGCCCCGGCGCCGGTGACACTCACCCAGGTTCGGGCTTTTCTAGGGCTGGCATCCTATTACCGACGCTTCATCAAGGGGTTCGCCAGTATAGCGAAGCCCCTCATGAACCTGCTGAAGAAAGAGGAACAACTGATCTGGACGCTGGAATGGGAAGCGGTGTTTCAGGCGTTGAAGGAGGCTCTGACATCTGCTCCTGTGTTGGCGCGTCCCGACCTGACAAGACCGTTCGCACCGTACACCTACTGGCAGCCTCAGGCGATATCGGCGGTGCTGACTCAGCACGGGGCGGACGGAAGGGAACAAGTCATTGAGTATGCGTCCAAGACGCTGAGCCAAGCGCAGGCTAATTACGAAGCGTGCAAAGGCGAATGCTTGGCGGTGGTGTGGGGGATCCAGCATTTCCGACCGTATCTTTACGGCTAGAAATCCGTGCTGGTAACGGATAATCAGCCGCTGCTGTCCCTACGCAACAACACGGACTACACGAGGAGGCTGGGCAGGTGGGTGGTGCGTCTGCAAGACTATGACTTCGAAATCCGCCACCGTGCCACGTGGCAGCATGGTAACGCCGATGGATTGACGCGCCTCCTGCCGCCCAACGAGTGTCTAGCTAACGAGCGACTCATTCCGTGGAGGCCAGAAGTCACGGCGACGAAACCGCACTACGGGGAGCTACACGTGCTGCGCAAGAACGACGCCTGAGTCCGGAATGGAGGTTTCACCGGAGATGGCAGACGCTATCTCTTTGCCCTCATCCAACTCCCTCGCTCTCTCGTCTAGTCCCTACTCGTCCCTTGAAACACAACTAAGTCCTTGTTTTTTCTGTACCTTGCCTATGGTCCCAGACCAAGAAGGGTCACATCCGGGAGGGCCCAATTTTCTTTTGTGGGTGCAGTGTAGTCGGTGTCAAGCGGTCAAGTCCCACGAACAATGCGTTAGGTACCGAAGTGAAAAGACGTGGGTCTGTCCCAACTCTAGAACGGACCAAGTCCCTACCGAGAAACGGTATCTGGATGCACGAACAGCCGATGGATTCGCGCCAAGTGTCCGCCGGGCGGAAGTCTGGACGGATCTTCTGTTGCTACGGAGGCTGTCAGGTGACTCGCTGTCAGAACTTGCCAATGCCGAGCGGCGGAGAGTCACGGAGCGGGCGCAGGACTATCGTTGGCAGGGACCGACGTTACAAAAACGAAAGGTCGATGATGACGGAGGGTCTAGCTGGTTGACGGTTCCACACCCTCTCGCTAGGTTCGATTGGACACGAGCCGCTCATGAAGAGGATGCGGACCATTTCGCGGTCAAGTACACGGAAAAAGCCATCGAGAAGAACGGATGGTACTGGTCGGGAATTCGGGAAGATGTGAAATACATCGTTCAGAATTGCCCGGCCTGCGTGGTGGACAAGGCGCCGGTACAGATGCCTCGGACAATGGTGCCCACTCGTGTAGAGCGCCCCTTTCAGAGGGTTAGCATCGATACGACGGATATCAATGTTCCGAGAGGCCCCATCGATCAGGGAGAACTCAATGTTCTTTTGGTAGCCGTCGATCATTTTTCAAAATGGATCGAGGCGTGCCCTATGACCAGCCGGAATTCGCAGGAGGTAGCCTGGTACGTAAATCGATTTTTGTGCATGCATCTAGACGTAGAAGAGGTACACATGGACAATGGGTCGGAATTTCAAGGCAAGGTAGAACGTCACCAAGTCAGGGCAGACGTTAAGATTATCTACTCGCCGGGGCATTGGCCTCAAGCCAACAGCCTGGTAGAAAATGCAAACCGATTGATTAAGACCGCCCTTAGACGGAATATTACTGCGGGAGACACCCGGCCCTGGCCTGTCATTGTCGACCACATCTTGGCCGTTTATAGGGCTACCCCACACGGTAGTACTAGGGTGTCCCCCTTTCAACTGAGAACCAATAGTGTCCCTCGGGTGCAGTTGTCCCCCTTGGTAGGTACGAAAGTTAGAGCAACACGAGCCCAACACAGAGATAAGGCCCGCCACTATATGGACTTAATGGCTAGGGCCTATCCCCCGTTAGCGCGCCGGCGATAGCAGGCCGTAGATCGCACGCATCAACGGCAGATCCGCGGGACCACTGCCTCGCTATAAAATAGGGGACCTGGTGCAGGTACGGAAATCCGCGCGCTCCTCCAAAATCCACCCATGCTATACAGGCATTTACGAGGTGACGGAAGTTGGCGCACGAGGCCAGCACTCCGTGAAGCTGGTTCCCAGGCACAACTCGCAGGGCCGCCCGCTGACAAGGCACGCTGCTGCCCTCCGGCCTTTTCGGCCATCGCTAGATCTCGTGCGGTCACCTGTCCTGCCCGAATCACCTTCCTCGTCCCTCTCTTGTGCTCTTTCGTCCTCGCCTCCTTCTTCCCCTTCTCTCCGATCGGCGTCATCGGCATCCGCGGAAGACCTTGCCTCGTAGGATGAACCATCGCCAACAGGAGCATGAACTGCTCGAGCACTTCCAGCCGCCCATCTCGGACGCTCTTCTCCGGAACCGTTTCAACGGCGATCGGCAGCTGCGCTTCGACATTCAGCTAGTGAACGTGTCGGCTCCTAGCGTTGCTGACTTCGCCGTGTACTCGCTCCTCGAGCAGCGGGTAACGTACGCGGGCGTCTTTGTGGACATATCGCCCGTGCCTGGTCAGGAATCCATGCGAGTGTTCATCGAGTTCCGAGCCATCTAGGTGGCTACGAACTTTGTGCACAACATCGCTACTTTCACCGGGGATTTAACCGTCTTGCCCGGGCACGATCGGGAGCCGGCGTACAGGTTATTGCGCGATTACGCCCTCCAGGTGGCGAGATCGGTGGCGCGAGTGCAGGCGAGGGGCACTCATCGCTTCACCGCATACGAAGGACTTCTGCGGAGGACTCCGGAGGGAGCACTTGCATTGGTGCCGCAGCTTCCCGCGCTCCTTCCTCCCGCCGAGCCCCTCAACATCCAAGCTGTCCCTCCCCCTTCTCTCTAAATGCCTCCCTTCTTCTCTTACACTACCCTCCCTTACCAACTGACATAGCTCCCCTATCCTATGCGCAACTTCCCCAAGTACCTGGTGGAGCTTAAGGATGTGGAGCAGTTGCCGCCCGCTGACGAGGACGCGTCGGAGCTGCATCGGGCGCTGTATTCGTCGGTGGTGCTGGGCATGTTTACCTTTTTCGTGGAGCACGAAGTTCATAACGTCGGCGAGTTCCTCCACGTATACTACGTGATCGCCAAGCCGAAGCCGGAGCGGAAGGAGGGAACAATGGCGCTTTACCCTTTTGGGAGGATCGGAACGAATCGCCCGGGGCTCTTACAACTCATTCACATTGAGTTGCTGTCCATCGCGCAGGTAATCGCCGCAGAAGAAGAAGACTTGCAGCTCAGACTGCGGACCGCCTCAGCCCCGTGCAGAGTGTATAACGCGGCAGTGATACCTGACTACCTGGCGCGTGAAGGGGAGTTCGTGGTGGACTTCGGGCACGAAGATAAGCCGTTGCGGCCTCCATCATCGTATCCAAAGCCGGCGGCCCTAAAGGCACCGAGAAAGAGAACCGTGGGGCCTGTCGAGGAGGTCGTCCAGCCTGCGCCGGTGCGCGAAGTCGATCCGGTTCGCGAGAGAAGAGCCACACTCATCATCGGGCCCCGACTGGGGGAGGACTTCCCCGCCGAAGAACCGCGGAGATCCACAGGCCTTCGGGAGTCGACACCTCAGCGGCCCCGCCTCCCCGATCTCAATAGCCATGCAGCCGGGCCATCAGGCGCAAGGGGGGGGATTGGGACAAGTTCCATATCCCGCATCTAGACCCCCCCTCCTTGCAGGACCGTTCCGATTTCGCCAGCCTGCCCGGGATACCCCGGTCATTGACATTAGCAGTTCCCCCGAGCCGGACGGTCCATCAAATCGACGTGGATCATATGGTGGAACTGGCCACCATCCGGCTTGAGGCCATCGAGGGGGCACCGCGTCCTGATCCGGCATGGAAGGCGTTCTTGCAGCCTCCATTCGATGGATGTATAGCGGCGAGGTTGGTGGGCACGCTCATCTACGAGACCGGCGGGCGGCCCAACATTCTATACCATATCCTGGTCTTCGCGGCGGTTAAGCGGGAGCGGAGGCCATACACGGAGACCCATCTGGTGCTGACGGGTCCGAGAAATCGGCCGCTGCGACGACGAATCATTCAGGCGATCGCTGATCTCGCGCCACGGGTCCTCTCACATGTGCCGGGGGCCTTCCTCTACCCCTCCTTTGTCCAGCACCACTTCAATGAAGTGGAAGTGCCCGCCAACTTGGCCGCGCTTGCGGCGTTTCTCCCTCCTCTTCCTCCCCCTCTCAATCCGGAGATCGATTACTTCCTATGATCATCTCCACCACCACCACCTCTTTCTTTTTCTTCTTCTTTTCCGGATCTAAAGCTCGCGCGTGCCCACCAACCTCTTACCGACTGGGCCAGCTGACGATGAAGGGGCCGCCCGATCGGGTGTGTACTCTGGGAGGAGGCAATGGAGGATGCAAGATGCATCCACGTAGATTAGGAAGATGATCGGGCCAGCTGACGATCAAGAGGCTGCCCGATCATCTAAGACATGATGACCTTAGCAGTCGGGAGACTGCTAATTTTTCGGAACCCCCTGCGTATCACACATGTGATAAGCTCAGACCCGTACCGCGCGGCTTCCCGTATCCCTGAGGAAAAATCCCTCAGAAGCCCCGAGGCATGGATGCGGACAAACAAGGTTTTTTTTTCTTTCTTTTTGTTTTTGTTTTCCTTTTGAAACGACTTTTTCATTTTGTTTGGTTAATAATTCCTGCGCGGGTGAATAGCGGTCGCGGTATGAAAACCAAGAAACGGAAGCGGTTGGGACTTTTTGAATTTTTTCGCGCAGACGCCCAAGCTCCGATTTCTTCGCGCATCTCGCATCCCCGTTTCTTGCTTTGCATCCGCGCGCCATCTTCCCTTCTTGCTGCGCGCATTTTCCTCATGCATGACTCTTCGTCTTCCCTTCCGCCCAACTCGATCCTTACTCCGCGAAGTGATTGGCCGCGTAGTTGGGATGCTCGGATCAATGTGGGGAGCGGGAAACCGCGCACCACTTGAATGGACACCCCAATCGCGCAGGACCATGCCATCCCGCGGGTCGAACCCTTTAACTCCCCACCTCCCTCCTGTCCTGTGCATCTACAACCTGCGCTGCCCGCACCTCGCACTGAAAACCCGCCGCCTCCCGCGCTATAAATTCGCGCAACCCTCTCCTCTCTTCCTCTTTGATCTCGGCTGCAATGCTGCGCGAGCTATGGGGGAAAGTCCGCAGCGCCGAACAGGCTCGACGAGCCCAAGGACGGGCGGAGTGACGACGTGGGGTGGACCCGCGGTAGTCTTGGGGCGACGCAGTCGGAGGGACTGAGCAGTGGTGGGGAGTTGACGCCGGCCGCGACAGGGCCTTGTGGCTATGGTGGTCGGTGGTCTTGGGAGGTTTTGAAGGCTGCGCCTGGGGGCGGCATTTAATTGAATTTTTTGTGTACAAGAAGGACTCACTTTTATCTCCATTGCTGCTTTGTCTATGCATGTCGTGTGTGTGAAGCCCCGAGTGATGGGAGCTGGTTGTGCGCATGAGTGATGTCGAAGGTCTATGAATGATTAGATGTCCTGTCAAGGGTTGTTGATTGTTTGCATGCATGTGTGTATCTACTTGTCCGGGCGGGGACGGGGAAACTGAACTGGGGACCGTCTGCCTAGGAGTACGAGTGTGTTAATCCCGTTGTTCCCCTCCCTTCCACGGCCCTTCGCACGCGCGCACGTTCTCGGTGTAAGCTCCCTCCCTCTCTCTCTCTCGCCTTCCTTTTTGAGCTTCTCGTCCCCGTACCGGTGACGTCAACCGCCTGCGTCTGCGCGCGTGGTCGACGCCCCCGCAAGAGGAAGAAAGCTTCGATTTCGCCATCCTCCTTCGACGCACTAACCATGAGAGGAAAGGTTGCATCGAGTGTTGTATGGAGTCGATGTTGGTGGGGATGACCGGGAGCGCGGGATCTTGCCCATGTTCATCGCCTACCTCCGATCGTCTCATCCCGCTACCGACCTTCCCCATCACAGATGACGACAACGTCTACTGTGATGTGGACGTACGGCGCGCGCTGAGGCGAACGAAGCAAGTGTGCTGGCGAGACCCGCCTCGGGCTTGTGATATAAGAGGGAACGGGTTTTACTTGATTGAGTGTTTTGATTCCGTGACTCTAATATTGCCTTGTACGGGTTTGATCGTGTTGCCCTGGTCAGCCGCTCACGCCGCGTGGCGGCCGCAGTTTGATTGTCGCTGGTGTCGCCAGGGGGACTCGTGTTCTTGGCGACGACTGGTCCTGGGTGACGAGGGAGCGACACGTTTCCCCGAGCTTTCCCGTAGTGCGGGGGCGCTGCTCGCGCAATTTCAAATTTGGATGCCTCCGAGTCCTCCCGCCGCTTTACCCTCCCGGAACCTTCCGCGCGGACTCTGTGAGTTGGACGCTGAGGCTTGAAGGCCTCGAACCAACCACCTCTACAGCAAAAGACCCGATGGTTCGGTTACTTCGTGAGGCCGAGAACGAGGCCTGAAGGCTTCGAACCCACCACCTATCCCCCGAAGCCCCTGACGACCGAAGTTTTGTCTTCCGCCGCCATGGCCCTCTCCCCTTGATGCCTTTTCCCGTCCTGATGCACGACGGCAGTTCGTTTTCGCGGAAACCCTTCTACTTTTATCATTTCGGAGCGATCCTACCCCCACGGGATTTCTCGACGACAGTTCGACTCCGGGGTAACCTCTGGCACGAAACGAGAGCCTCTTGTTCCGTCCGGGAGACTCAACACCTACGACCAAAAATCCTCGGGCACGCCCCTCCAAGAACTTTGATCGGCGACCTCGTACGGGAAGCCGCAAGGGGGCGTAAGGTTGTGTATCACAGGCAGTCGTGCGCACAACCACTTCCGATGGCGTCGAGGGAGGTGTCGAGTCACCCTCGGCGGCGCCTACTTTCCCGAACAGGGTTTCCCCTTGATGGGCAATGTGCAGCATCGTGGATGGTGCTATTGCACCAAAGGCAGTAACGGTACTTGAGTCTCGTGCGATAGCAATTTGCCGAGAGTTCGTATTGTGCCCAAGGTTCGTCGACCGCTAATCCGGTGCTCGTTGTAAAGGTGGACTAACTCTTCGTCTTGTCGCGACCGTGATTGTTGCGCGGCCGGCCACCATCCCGGGCAACTGCCAACACTTCACCCTCGTTTGGTGTTGCAGCCTCGGTAGAAGTAATGCAAGCCACCTTTGGCTTGGGCTGGGTGCTGCTCGTCGTCGCGGAAGATCGGCCGGCGTTGAGGGCTTCTATATTCGTGAGAATGATCCGTGACGCTATGCTGAAAAGATTGTCATATGTGTCGAGTGTCTCTGCAATCTGCGTTAGCGCGTTTTGCAGAGCTGGACACGAGCGCATGATAACCAAGTGCTTGATGGCGCGGAATGCGAGCGACAGGTCAGGTGTGAAGGCGAGTCTTTGGAACTCGGTAATCCAGTCCTGACTGAGCAGCGTGTTCTGATGGAGCTTGTTAAGCTTGTCCATCGCTTGCAGGTCAGGCGGCTCCACTTGGAATCGCTTGTGCCAGGCGTCAGTCAACTCCTGCCAAGTGAGCTTGGTGTGCAGTTCCGACACTGCTACGCCGTGGCTAGTCAAGATGTTGTCCATCCATGCTTGACATGCACCACCAGATCGATGGTACAAGCACGGATGTCGATCGTTGTTCGGGACATGGTGCATGTCGAGCCTGAGAGGAAACTGGCACCACCACGGGATCGGTTCCGTCTTGGACTGATCTCAAAAAACTGGAATGTCATCCAGTTTGGGTGGGCGCCGAGAGGATGCAGCCGCGGACGTCACAGTGGCAGCAGCTTGGACCTGCGTGTCCAACTGCAAGTTCGTTGCCTGCTGCGGCGTCCGGAAATCCTGATGCACACGCTTAATGTTGTTGACGTCATCCTCCAAGACTTGAACGCGGGTGGTAAGGTTGGAAGGCCCAGCAGCTGCTACAGCAGCTGGCTGTTTCTCCAACGCCTGCAACCGTGTAAGCATCTGGTCCACCGTCTGCTGCAGGTGAAGGATTTCCTCCTGCTGCATAGCGCAGGTGGCCACGAGGTCGTGGGAGATCTGCGCAACGGCGGACAACCCTTTGTCAGTTTTCGGGGCCTCGTCTGCAAATGCCATCGCCACCCAATGTGCGGTCTCATCGCCGATCACGGTCTTCCGCGTGAACAGTCGTTCCCGCTAGCGTGACCAGTGTTCAGCTGCTGCCTGTAGGTCTGCCTCCTCTTGACGAAGTCGGTCCTATTCCTCCTTTCGTCGCTTGGCCTCCTCTTCTTGCTCAATGTGACTACGTTCCTTGGCCGCGGAGGCGGCCCTATCGTTGGGCTCTTGGATGAATGCCGCCAGGCGTTCCTCGTAGGCTAGGAGGGATTCTCCCACCTTCCGGTCCATGGCCTTAGTTTGTGATCGAGTGAGCAGTGGCATGCACTGTCGTGCCCGCACTCTGAAGAGTCACTTATGGACCAATCAGATAGACTGGCCCAACACCCGGACTAGAGGGGGAGGAACAAGTAGGCGGCAGACAAGTGGGAAGGATCGGACAGATCCCAAATTGAACAGTTTCCTAATCAAGAAAAAATAATAATAATTTTGATTAAAAAAATAAATAAAAAATTTGAAAAAAAAGACCGTCCAATCCCACTGAGTGCCGAAGGTGATGCAGAAAGCAATTGTGAACCTTCGGTGCTCGGACTGCAGAGAATCAGAAAAGAAGGATCTTTACAAACTCATAGTAGGAGTAGGTTGCGAAAAGAAAAAAAATGCCGTTTTTTTTGTTTTTTTTTTTGAAAAAAAGAACGGAATTTGCAGACCTACGCAGTGAAAGTGTAGAGGGACATTTTTGGAAAAAAAAATCGAAATTGTCAAAATGCAGACATTTAATAATTAAACAAGGGGGAAAAAAAAATTCGGAAAAAGAATTTTCAGAACGAAAAAAAACATTATCGGCAAACAAATTTCTCGGAAAAAATAATTTCTCGGAATATAATAATTTCTCGAAAAAAAATTCTCGGAAACAGAAATAATTTCTCGGAAAAAAAAAATTCTTGGAAAAAGAAATTAATTCCGGGAAATTTCAAAGATTAGAAAAAAATTGCCAAATAATCAATCAACTTAATCAATCAATCAATCAATCAATCAATCAATAAATCTTATATGGTTGCTGATTGATTGATCGATTGTTCGATCGATCGCCTGATTGACTGATTAATCAATCGAAGATTGATTGGTGGCAATCCGCCAATCCAATCAAGCAAGATAGGTGCAACATTCACAAGATGTTAATGTGCACGATGCAAAGAGTGAACAACGAGAAATCAACAACAACACATTCGTCTTATTATCATCATGGGCTGGGAAGCAGCGCAGCGGAAGATTTAGTATCAAAAGAACACGTGACCAACAACATGAAAGGGAGAAACTTCGGAAGGGCAAGACATCAGAAAGATTGCCCTTCTGCTCATACACATGGGGAGAGATCCATAGACATGCGAGAGAGAAGGGGGGAGGGACATAGGATCAAGTCCAACCCAAGTCTGATCTCCGAATGTCGTACACTGTTCAATCCCAATGTAGAGTGTAAGTCCAATCTGAATGTCGTGTCCAATAAGGCAGAAGGCCGTGTCCAAACAATGTTTACAGTTACCTCTAGCTCTACTCTGAGGAAGAAGAAGAAGAAGAAGAGGAAGAAGAACTTCGGAGGAGTAGGAGGAGAAAAGGAAAGGAGAAGAAGAAGAAGAAGAAGAAGAAGAAGAAGAAGAAACCTAGGCGCTTTCTGCACTTACCTGGCGATAGCTGAACTACAGGTACCGCGGAGCCAGCTATGGTGCTGATACATGTAAGTCCTCTTCTCTGTCTCTCTCTCTCTTTAACGAACTCCACTACTTTCCTCGGTGCTGGACTCCTCCAGCGCTGTGCCTTATTGCCGATGAATAGCGCAGCTGCAGTCCCAAAATAGCGCACCCTGTAGTCTCCTCACAGCGCAGCAAGTGAAGTCCTGAACCAGCATAACGCTGGATTTCCCCTGGTACCTTCTGTCCAGAACTGGGCGTTGGCCCAGCTTAAGTAGTGTTGGGCCGGACCCAGTGAGTCCACGGTCTGCGTTCTGGATCGTGCAGATCGAAACTCCGATCCACGGTCCAGATCGCAGGCTTCGAAACTGGTTCAGTCCTTGGCCTAAAACGGCCTGCCGAGGTCCCTACCGGACGTCCAGGCCTTGCCCAGAACTGGGCCTGTTCGGTACCTGGTCCGATTCAGGGCCTGTGTGAATGCATTGGGCCTGAACGTCGGTCCAGGTCCGAACGGTCCGAAATCTGTCCGAAAACAAAAAAAGGTCCAAACGTTTTAAACAGCTCAGCCTCTGGGCCTGAATCTGGCCCTGGTCCTAAAACGTGTACCTGGCCACAAAACAGACAACAGTACACACGTTAGAAAAACAGCAGCAAATAAATAAATAAAAGAATATAAAAATAATCTAAAGTTGGCGTTTTTTTGATGCAGGCCCAAGTAAAAATGCCATAGGGCCTTCAGGTTGCGGTGACACGACCTGGGGGCCCTATTCCAACCTCGGGTCCCGTGAGGGGCCCGTGTGTAGGCTTTCAGCATGTAACACACACACACACACACACACATGCCCACACACACGCACATGCCCCCCCACACACACAGAAAAGTTCGGGCGTTCGGGTTCGGGCGTTCGGCCCGTCCAGAACGCCGGCAACCCTGATTATAATAAAATAAATAATAATAGAAAACTAATAGGTTTTGAATTTGATTTAAAAAAAAAAATAATAATAATATATGAAGAAAAATCAATAAATAAATCATAAACTAATAATAAAATCATACCCAAGAGCCTAGCTCAGTGGGTACACCCATGAATGGTTGAAATACAGACCTGTGTTCGAATCCAGATGATGGAACTTGAGTAGTAAAACCAACTACTAATGAATTGCTTGGGGCTGGTCAGCTCAATGATAATATTTCAAGGTCGTCGTCCTTAAAAAATAATAATAATAATAATAATCATAAGAGAAAACTACGGCGCAGTCAGGGTTACAGTTTGTAATTGCATTTGAAACTGCGTTTTAGCAGTTTAGTCAGGGCCCGAGTTTCAATTGAATTTGGGCTGGCTTTTTCTAGCAGTTCACTCAGGCACAT